ATCCACCAAGATAAAGACACGGCTGCAGTTGCCCTTACACAATTTGTACCAGCCTCTTATAATTCATCTTCCTTCATCTAGTATTAATGGTAAAAACTGCCACAACTTTGATCTGCATACCTGTTCATTCCACGTGCATGAACTCGGGAATATAAATGACCACGCATGTTTTTAAAGGTCACAGCTGTTTCCTCGCGCCGAAATTAGCTTAGAGAGCCATGCGAGGCAAACCAGTTGCTGTCGAATTAAATTTGATAGGCAATGGCATCATGTGCACCAAATGCAACCTTAGATAGCTTACCTAAGTGTGGATCCAGACTGGACGGTTGATTAGGTTTTTCTGCAGATTAGCTTAGTGGACTCCAACTGAGCATTTGTTGGGATGTTCTGCGCAGTAGCATATAAAAGGGATCTGGGCCGGAAACAACACTGCCAACGTCATTTTCAGCTTTTCGACCTTATGTGCGAATGCAATCTCTGCTCAGGCAAAAGAGTAAGCCCTCGAGGACCAGAAGGAACGCATTTGAGGTCTGGCTGGAACTCTCAGGTTACAGTATTACTTGGTGAAAACCTTAACAGCAGAGAAGTCACTCAGTCAGTGTGGTTTCCTGGTGAAGAATAGACACCTAGATACATCGCTTTGGAAAATGGACATCCACGAAGAATAATTCAGTCGAAGAAGTTTTTCTGGGAAACAAAAGGAAATTTAATTGTGAATTACCGACACTGGTTCACCAGGTCGTCGTTAGCCAAATGGGACTTGTGCGAAACAGTTAACTCAAATGATGGCCAATACCAGATTATGTAGTGGGTCAGAGCGTTGGTAGATCATCGTCACCCGCATGTAAGTATGCGTTCAGTAAGGAATTATTTGCACCCAAATTTAATCGTGCGGTCGGCGGTGGCCGTTTTTTGCTTCAACTAGTCCGGAAAGGCTGCCGTCTTTTCCATGTTTCTCTCAGGTTGGTGTACATAGCGTGCAATTTGACGTGCCTGTTGATGCACAAGTCATCAGAGTCGATGGCCTTTAAAAACTTGCGGCATTAATTAGATGGGCAAGAGCCAGCAGTGCAAGTTTAGTCCCATGCAAACTGGCGTCCCGTTTATAGTGTGTGCATGGGGACTTGGGCCACGTGGTCTCGCCTCCTAACTGCTAATTGGTGTTCGCGTAAGCGTGCAGATAATTATTTTCCTGTCTGCCTGCAATAAACTAAATTGCAGCTGCTACAAGGAATCTTATAAACCATTTTTTATTGTCCAAATAGCCAACCCTATCCGTAGGATGTACAAGCTGATTTCGCAGTGTAGCCTTTGGATTGTGGATTTTTATCAAGGGCGCGGATATGCATACTCTATGTTGCAGTTATAGTCAGCAGTAGGGAACCGCTGACCAACGTTGAGCAATTTTCAACAGTCTCAAAATTATTTGCATTGCGAAAAAGCCGATAGTCGAGATCTTACCACCGAGGTCGAACATTGTACTTTCAAGTATTACTATAACTCGCGGCTAACGTTAAACAGCGTTATTGCAACGTTGGTTGACTTTTAAGGCTTATCAAAATATAGTTCTCTATCTATCTATCATATCTATCTATCTTTTTGTGCTGCTGTTAGCCGGGCAGCAAAACTTCTAGCAGTAAAGACAAAAGAAACCGAAACAGTCACCTACCGCCTATAAATCGTCGCCGAAATAGAAAAACAAAATAGAATGTTCCCAACCTGTCCTGAAATTAAGCTGCATGGCAGAACTTCACTTTCCTCTGATTAATAGAGCAGAAACACCGAAGACCGCGGGACACTTTGACAAAATTTCAGTAATTCACCAGCACATTATAAATGTGCCGGGTTTCCATTAATTCATCCTAATTGCAGCTCACGATAAGCATTTCTGTTTTCTCTCTGAGCCCTATTTCCTAGAACCCGTTCAGATCTGGCAAAGCGAATACCAATCACCCAAAGAGAAACTTTATTTACCAAATATTTGCTACACTGCACAGGCATCCGTGTGGGCGGTATATCTTCAGCCACCAGGCAAAAGCGAATTTTCTATTTCCGTCCTCAAGTCAGGATAGGGCGATTAATGCAAAGAAAATGAAAGTGGGATCACTGGGACAATGGGCGTATTAGCCTGAGCTTTTAGTTTTGTACGGATGACTGTGAGACTGTGAGAATTCAACAACAACAAATGGGGCGTTTCTGACTTAAAACAAAGAAGAGAAGGAGGGTATGGGGGAAGAGGAGGGGCTGGTATTTGCGATAAAGTTGAATCCACTCCGTCTCACGAAGTGGTGACAGGCTGCATCCTTGACTGAGAACTGTGCCTCTTGGTCACGTGAGCAAAGCGTGTGATAGCAGGGAGGCGGGGGGCGGTGATTGTGGTATACCGAGGTATCTGTTAATGGAGTTGGTGTCTGACTTCCAGCAGTTTCCGCCCCGTCTTATTG